CATGGTTATAGCCACCATTGTTTTTGTTAGGGCCACCAAAGTTGTGAAATTCTTATCTTAATTTGACTAATAATTGATAAAACAAATAATATTTATTATTTAACATATTGAAATCAGTTTATCAATAGATATTTTCAAGTATCATTACCAACTGTTTAAGGAAAAAACTATAAACCGAAAACATTACAGGTATAATTGATGGCCTTAACAAAAAAATATATATATATATATTGGTGGCCTTGACAAAAAGGCTAGTGGCCGTAACCTTAGCCTTTCAGCCCTCTATTTGTTTGCATCTTATATGACCAAATTTCTTTTGTTGCAATTTGTTTCCTGATGGTGATGTCAATCTAACTTTCAGCTTGCTGGAGTTGGAGAAGAAGCTTAGCCCCATGTTCTCCAGGTAGGAATGAATGCATCTTCAAAAAGCAAATATCTGCCCCGACAGAGTCAGCTACCATAGGGCTGCTAATGCATTCGTTTATCCTTCATCATTTTTGTAGATGATTAGACAGCGTTTATTCTCTTTTCAATGCCATGCATGCGTTTCACTCATGTCTTGTGTAGTTATATTCATCTGATGAATAGATCAAGCCTTTGATGTCATATCTTTTTGAACCCCAGAAGTTCCTTTACACACTGTTCTTGTAGAAGTTGTTTACGCTTGACACGCTAACAGAAAAGAGGTCAATTTTATTGGAATGATATAGATTCCAATGTGTGAATGAAATCACTTTTCTTAAAACTTTCAATGCCTGAATATGACAGAAATCGCTGCAGTCTCTCCAAAGAGACGTAAAAGACAAAAATACTTCATATACTTCCTTCAAGCCTTCCCGATTGAAGCACAGGGAAATACATAATAATTCATCCATCATTGTCTCCATTTATTATAATTTGTCCAAATGGCAACGTTATTTATGTTCTTTTGTTTGTCTAACTTCAACACTAAATAGTGAAACCTCCACAGGCGCACTTGTCGGGTTGACCAGTTGGATCAACAGCACAGAAGCTACTGATTTTCCCGAAGCATTTCTGGCAATTTTTGGGGCATTTGACATCATCAGCACATCCGCCGGGTATCATTTCATTTTGACAGTTTCCATTTACCACAAAAACAAGTTTTAAATGTGATTTTTGTTTTTTTTAATCTAGCAAAACATTCATAGATCCATACAACTATTACCCATGAGCAGACAAGTTCCAAAGTCTGTGACACATAAACAACTGAGAGACAAAACAAACACAAACTTTTTTTTTCTTATTAAAATTCAGCATGAATGTAAATGTCGAAACTGTCAAAAGTGTTTCTTTTATAAGAATGTGTTCAATATACTAACAACAACTTAGTTGAATTATTTATTAATTTAAAAATGTTAATTCAAAATTAAAATTAAGAATTTAAACCTCTACAATATAAAACAACTGACTTTTAACATACAAAAAGAAAATACGTGTTGAATATAATTGCATAAATTTTTTTGTACAAAATAGGAGATTAATTATCATGACTAGTGCCTGGTTTCTGTAATCTATACCAGACTTGGGTATTTTTGTTTTAAAACATTATTTTGTAATCTGAATTATTTTAAATTGTATAATAAAAACAGTTAAATGAAGGTTTAATATTGAGGCCCTCCCTCCATCTATTTGTTCATATTTTGCATTCACTGCAAAATAGGGAAGCCATTTTCTTTTGATTTGCTGTGCTGTTTTCGTTAATATGTAACGGTAAAGTTCTTTTGGGTTGTGAAGAATTTTCTTTTTTCAGAGTTTCTGCCTTGTTGAGGAGTTGCTGTCAGCTGTATTTTTATGAGTTCGGGTTATCTCTTTGTGATCTTTCACAGTTTGTATGTATGGGCCAAGTACAAGGCTAACGAAAAGGTGGATGGTAAGAAAAATTAATAAAAAAGTACTAAGAGAATAATATTAATGAGCTGTGTGATGTGTCCATTTTGCTGTTAGTAGTTTTTGTCATGTTGTATATATTGAGACTATTTGTAAGGGTTTGGAGTACTCATTTTACTCCCTTTAATACATTTTATTTAAAAAATGAAAAAGGTAATGAGTTATGTATTTCATAGTTTAGTTTAGATTAAATATAAATTTTAATCTGTTGTATGTTTTAATGTTTTAGTCCTTGAATTATTTTTTATACATTTTTTTTGAGCTAAGAAAAATATTTTTTTAATTATTCAATTAGTTAATTCATTAAGTTTATATATATATATTTAGTTTTTAAATTTATATCTATTTATCCACATATTCATATAAATTTAGAATTAAAAATATATATATTTAAATCGTCTTAACAAACAAACTAATAGAAGCAGTAAAAAAAACATTTTTCATAATTTAGGGATAAAAAATTACAAAAAAATAATTTAGGGACTAGAATGTTCAAAACTGAAAGTTTAATGACTAAAAAATGGCATTTAACCTTTAAGTTAAAACTTTCTAGCACACATATTAGGGAGAGAAAAAATTAATTCGGGTAGAAAAGAGATATAGATTAGTAATAGTTATAGATGTAAAGATAAAACAACTATTGAAGATTTAATGAATTGTTCTATTGTGTTTATTTCAAAAAATTTTAATTAATATAAAATTTAAATATTTGTTTATAGTAAATTGATATATATTTGTAATGACTTTTATATTTATTGATTTAAAATTAATTTCAATTATTAAATCAATAATATTACATTTAGTAATTACTAAAAAAGTACAATATTAATCCATCTTTCTTCCCTTTTCTTGAGCGATAGGCTTTGTAGGTATGACCTGTCACCCTAGGATTTGTGTAACCATTTTGCTTATGCCTTCAAGTTTTCTTATTTTTTTAGATTTTCAATAAGGATTTTTGTCTTCCTTAGATTTTTAATGAAAGTTTCATTGCAATTGATTAGTTTATATGATATACTAAATCTAAAGATATTTTTTAAATAAATTTAAAAAGTACGATACAAGGAAAAACTAATTTTTTCAAGAAGTCCCCCGTATTAATTGCCCTCAAGAAGTCCCCCGATTAATTGTCAAGGTTTTTCTTTTTAAAATATGAAAAAACTAATGAAAAAACACAATTAACCTAAGATGAATTCTAAATAAAAAAACAATTATCATTGCACGACAAATAAATTATAAAATGATAAAAGAAAACAGAATGTTCAATGTTCAAAGGGGAAGTTCACGGAATACAACAGAAGCAAGTCAGAAAAATGCTCCACAACTACACATTGCATTACTTTCTAAGCATAGAAATTAGAAAGTAGTGGTACAAAATGCCACAGCAATTTTTTCTTTTGAACAATGCCCGAAAAAAGTGACACAACAGAGAACAAACACATAAAAGGTTACGCTATATTAACCCTCAAAAACATGTCTATAAGATTTATGGGCCCTCACATATATATTGCACTTTTAACACCTTGTTTCTCTTTGACGTGGGATCTTATATCTCTTAACTCCACCTCACATGTGAACTAATACCCCTGGGTTCTCTCCCAAGTCTATGATTTGCCCTCCCGTGAGTGTAACTACGAACCTCAGCCCGCTTGTCGAAGACAACACAAGTCCTCAATCTCTGAAGATATCTTAATCTTCCACTTCTGCCATGGGACTACGTGGAGTCTTTCTTCCATGGACTTCTCCACACTCAATCCTGACCAAACCCATCTTTATCACTGATTACACCATTGGCTCTAATACCATTTGTTGGGAGTCAACCAGGTCGGCTTGGAAGCGTACACAGCATGAACATATATAAGAAGGTGCCATATTAAACCCAAAAGACATGCCATATTAAACCCAAAAGACATGCCATATTAAACTCAAAAAAGATGTTCATCAAGTTCATGGGCCTCTACATATATATTGCACTCTATCAACTCATTTTACTCCAACACCATGATCATCCTAATAACAATAAAGAAATCCAGAAACTTTTATGCCAGAAAGTGAAGACAATTACTCAGAGTTAGAATTCAGACTTTGCTTTTAGAAACACCTAGATCTAAATAGATCAATGAAAAGATTAGATGAGAGATGTTAATCAAACAATTAGTTTACATGAGGAACTGAACCTACCGTCACTGTGGACTCTATTCATCAGATTGCTCCAGTAGTTGATAGAGTTCATCAAATCCATCATCATTTTGCTGGTTTAGTCCCGTTTGTTCACAAAAGGCTTCCTTTTGGACATTCCAGTTCTCGACTACATTCTCCATTATGTCACCAAGGCATTCCTTACTGTCAGATATATGCTCTATGTTCTGCACATCTACCACCTCACTGGCCGCTTTAGGATGAAATTTCAAAACATGGAATAAGAAAATTATATATCTAGTTGATAAATATCAACTATATACATGATATAAGTAAGATAAAATTGGTCAATTAGAGAAAACTAGTAAAAAAATTCATGAAGCACTAATAATTTTCATTTATAAGTCATAAGGCCACTAGAAATGATGCAGGCTAATTAATCAATAAAAGGAAATTCCAAGATATTTAGAATGCAGCAAAAGGGAAACAACAGCAACTTCCTGGTAATTTGAGGAAACTTTTTCTTTTTCTTTTTTTTTTTTTTTAAAAAATCATATCATAGTCATGGAGATATTAAGCTATCAACAAAATCAGTATAGCACAGCCAACAATAATAACATATATGTAGTTATCACTTCCAGAAGAATTAAAATACATTGAGTCCACTGTTTTGCAGTCTGGACTGCAAAGCAGGGGCCATTGGATGGGGGGAGGGCTTCCAATATCAGAGGGCCCATCCCCCATCCAATGGTTAGTGTTGTGCAGTCTGGTGCACTCCAGACTACACAACACTTTTTCCAAATACGTTATTTTTAATTATTTTTCTTTTTTAGGCAATTAACAAAAACAGATTTGAGTTATCAGTTAATTAGAATGTTCAAAAGGCCCGATGCACTTAAATCAAGAGTCCAGAATGAAAAGCATGATCGAGCGCCATGAAGGGTAGGTAGTTCTGAAAGAACATGCTCTCATGTTTGATTGTGCTGTAAAGAGAGAGGGAAGTTCCAAAGAAATGAACCTTCAATTGCTTGTTTCTTGGCCTCTGCATATTCTGCAGACATTTGCTTCAGCAGATCCAGATCAACCTCCCTACCCTGAGAAATGCAGTAATAAGAACACGCACAGATAAGCAGAGGTACTTAGACTGAAGCCTATTTGCAAAATATTATAGGAAATTCATGTAACCAACTGCATGCATTCTAATATTAGCATCTCAATGGGCTAAAGTGGACAAAAGATGTCCCAGGTAATACACTATCCTCACAAAGCAAAATAGAACATATTCACTGCAACTTGCCCTTCGTAACTCATTTTGTCACAAATTATTAACTACTACTTTGTGTGCCTTTTTTATAACATAATTTATTTGATTTTTATATATATTGTAAACATCATAAACCATTTTAGGCATAAAGTTCAAAATTATGCCTGCTTGCAATGTATGTCTTATATTTTTCTGAAGATTTGTGCATTTATTATAATTTATTTGATCGAGCATTAGTTGGAGAAAAAGGTGGTCCAGAGTACGAAACTGACATCATCCAACTTGATTTTAAAGAAATAATCCTTCAATTGGTCTATTGCCTAGATGAACATGTACACATGCCATCCCAGAAATGCAAGCTCCAGATTCAGAAAATGAAAATACAGAAACTAAAACCCAGGGAAAGAACAATGCCTTTTAGACATGATTGGATATGGTGTAATATAAGACCACATTCAAACTAAAGTTTACCATCTTATGACTAGCTGAGATTTTTCAAAGATAAAATTATATTACATGAGATTGGTCAGGTTTAAGAAAGAATATAAATATAATTTTATGATAACTAATAATATAACAGAGGAGCTAGCTCAAAACTTCCTACGTTTGATATTATGACAAAGCAACTGCTCAAAAAATTTGAAATTACAACACTAAAATTTAAACAATCTCATCTCATCTAATCACCAAAAATAAGGTTAAATATGTACTTATATTTTTTGTAAGTCCTAACAGTGGTCAATACAATAAATATGCAAAACATATGTCTGCCCCTACAGTGCAATGGGCTTCTATTTTCTCATTAAGTTAAAGGTAACATACCAAGTCCATATGGAGGTAATGCTCAATATTAGAATTTTTAAATAACCTGTCAATGAAAAGTAAAGTAGCAAAACAGTAAGAACACGTTATCATGAAAAAATAAAATTAAAACAATAATGCATTTAACAAAAAGATAAGCACCAGCATACCGATCATTTGCAACTTTTATGCAAGTATTCTGAAACTCTGTAAGCTGTTTAACTGTCTCACTATCAGAGCCTTTATTTATGTCCACAAACCCAAAAAGAAACATGTTTGTTTCTAGCATCCGGTTTACCAATGATGGTACTGCCTTTATATATTTAGCTTTTGCATCGGCGACAAGGACTCTAAGTTTCTCCAGTTCTCCTATCAGATAAGGAACGGAAGTCAAGTGAACAGAGACTAGGGGAAGAAAACCATGGTACTCTTAACCAGACATTGCCAGCATACACAGTTTGAGCATTTTACCATCAAATCATTACTTATAATCATTTAGCATTCACAACCAATTATAATTATCTAACATAAAACCAAATGGGATCTCTAAAAGGAAATTACTGAAGAAAGTATAAATTTCAAATAGGTTCCACCATAAAAGTTAATTTTATGTTGAAATATTGATTTGTAGATAAGAGCCACATTAATAACAAAATCACAGTAAGAATTTTAGCATTGCTCATCACAGAAGAAATAACTAGAGAGAAAAGACTCAAACAAATTTTCTAATGTATTTGCGATCAAATAGAAGGATGTTGGCTTCTCTATCAGCAGATCAGATATTTACATTATATTCCAATACATCTTAACATCAGAACAAAAAGCCATCCTGGTGTTATGGAATGAACATATCACCATGCATACTATCCATTTTGACAACAAAAGTGTGTATTATCTGTTTTGCATGCAAGACAACATCCAAAAGGAATTCAAGGTAGAAAAGTTTGAAGGGACATCTTGATGCGGGACAGGTTAGAAGGTATGGTGGGCTTGGGGATTTAGAGGCTGTTCACTGTAGATTTAAGGTGTGAACAGCATATGTGAAAGTGAAATAGGGTCTATTTAGGATAGGAAAGAGGAAGAAACAGAAAAAATAATGAGAAAGATAGAAAAACCCTAGGAGTCACACCTAGGTTTCTTTAAGCATCACACCTAACGAGAAACCCATAAGCATCACACCTAAGGTTGATTGCATCGCACAATCAAGAGCAAAACTAGGTGTGACTCCTAGGGTTTTTCTATCTTTCTCATTATTTTTTCTGTTTCTTCCTCTTTCCTATCCTAAATGGACCCTATTTCACTGTTCACACTCACTGTTCACACCCTAAATTTACAGTGAACAGCATCTAAATCCCCAAGCCCAGCATACCCCTTAGCCTGTCCTGCATCACATCTTGTTCAAAAAAATATATAAATAAATAACCAAAGATAAGACCTAAATATAAAAATTAAGAGCAAAACATACCAAGAGAGATATAAATTTTGAAAGGAGGTTTGAATGGTTGAGTTTCATAAAGGCAGTAAAGGCAATAGAGTCCTCCGAGTCTCACTGATAAAGAATCAGTGTTACATATATGACCTGCATTGGAGCACATGAAAATTAGCAAAGCATACACATAGTGGCCATAGAAACATGAAACTTCCACTCTCAAAATATGGTCATGCACAGGTTAAAGATAATACCTAAATTCAAGCTATTAGTATAGAATATTCATGATTTCACTTCTAGAGCATACAATCTCCTCCAATTTAGTGATATTAAACCTGCATCCTGAGATTGGCTATTTCTCCATCTTAATTCATGGATTGCCAGAGCCATTTCAACTATGAGTATCTAGAGTCAACCTCACAAGTCTTAATAATTTTCTTCAACTCTTCTAGGCACTCACTGTGTTACAAATCTCAGCATATTACTGGAAGATAATACAGATACTCAGTTTTAGTAAGGGATTTTAAGCCTAAAGTCAAAGATTCATTTCACAAATGACATAAATTTACCTAGGTTCATTGGGTTTCAAAGGAATCTTTAACCCTTTCAGGTTCTGCATTTCAGAAGTGACCCAAAAAGCTAGAGATCTACAACTTTTACCTCTCCTTCAAGAGTTTTCAAAATAGACCATGACAGGCAAGCATTTGGGTCTCAAAATGTAAAGGTCAAGATTTGTGCACTCTAGAATAGATAAATGGATGAATGATTTAAACTATGGTCCTTAGCAAATCAAATTGGTAGAAGAAGTGGTCCTACAAAGTCTTATTATTGTTTCAGCATAGTTCTAACATTCCAATCATACCAAATACTAAAGCATCTGAACCACAAAATACACTAATAACAACTTCATAGGGATAACACAAGGCTACTTTCCTTATGTAAATTAGGAGAAATGACCTATGTTGCATATCAATAAGTTGAAGCATTTTACATATATTTCAGAAAACAATTGATCCAAATGGCTCATCATCTTCCAAAGCAGTTACCCCCTTTTGGTGAATTGAGTTACAAAGTATTTTTCCATATGGTACAGAATAATATAGATGCAGGGAGGCCACATTCCAGCCTTCAGAGTCCTCAATCACTCTAGTTATCAAATTCTGCATTTTCAAGGTAATCTTTAAAAAAGCATTACTCTATATTGAATTCAACACTTCATTAACTTGAATCAAGTTCAAGTCAAAATCTAATATGAAAGTAAGGACAACATAGTATGTAGAAATACATACCAATAGTATGGGCATACAGTGATTGCATAAAGAAGGCCAAGTTATTGGAAGGGCTAGCCTCAAAGATGTATGAGAACTTCCTTGAGAGCCAAACTTTCTTCATATCAGCCAATGTTGTTGATTCACCCTGTCAATTAGAAAGAAAAGGAGCCAAATATAAGAATCCAAAATGAAAAAATGAAAGTAATAAGGGACAAAAGAAAGAAAGCTGGTTGCACCTTAACAAACTCATCTATGAGCTCATCAATATCCATCTTGAAGGAAGAAAAATCCATCATCAGCTCTTTGACAACAGTATCTGTATCAAAAATTAAATATAAGAAAAATCCAAACTTCAAAAATTAAATAAAATATAAAAAATTCACAAATTAAAAAACAAAAAATAAAATAAAAATTGAAGGCATTCCCACTTGGGATATATTCAAATGTGACATGTTTCCCATTGATATATCCAAACAAAACAAGAAATGAATTCATTTAGTTAAACAAGAAAAAAAACATAGCAGTTAACACTTCAGGCTATTCCAAGCTGAACTGCTTATATTTTTTTTAAGGCTATTCCAAGATGGAATGCAAATGCCTGAACAGAATCCAAAGGACAATTTATTTTAAGGTCCAGTTTTCAGGGATTACATCAGAATGCATATGGAAGCAACAGTTTCAACACAGTGATGCTGATCAAAATGAGGATTAAAATGAATAAGGCAGAGAACAATTTCGCAATTTTTCAGAATCAATTTCTTAAGGTCAATGCCAGACATGATACCTCAAACTAGAACAATAATTGTGCAAAGATAGTAAATCATTGACAAGATCACAGAATACATAAAACCCTAAGGTCATCATCCTTCTACAGATTTAGAACAAACAGTCATGTACACAACAATCAATGAATAAAGAACAACGCCAGATGATATTGAGACCAGTAACAAACCATCCAAGGGGAAACCAGCTATATCCAAAAGCAAATGAACAAAATGAAATCTATCAGAACATAAACAAAACAGATTTAACAAAGTAATCACAAAAATACAGAGAAAGATAACATCAGGTTCAACAAAGTAAATTCATTTTAAAAAAATCACGAAAATCACAGGAAAATCATGTTCAGCCTAATCTCCGCATCCAAATGCGAAAAGGGCAGCCCAGCGGACTCAACTCCAGTTGGCTCGACCTAGCCACACAATCTCCTAACACTTCCATTCGGATTCAACAGAGAAAAATGAAAGAAGAACTCAAGAGAATCGACGATTTGGTAAAAAATCTAAAGATGTAAACCCTAAGTTCCAGAATAGTTACCAAAAGAAGGAAGGAAGATCGGAGTTGCAGAGGTCGCCGGGAAAGCCGCCTGGTGTAGAATAGTGGTCTGCAATGGGCGGACTTGAGAAATCGCAAGGCCTGAAACCAGAGGTAGCTGTGGCGGGAAATCGGAGGTGCCGGAACCGTTACGGTACGCTTGCACAGAGGGTAAATGGAGAGGAGGGAAAGGGAGGGGATAAAATTACCCTCAATAAAATAAATTTTTCTTTCTTTCTCTTCCCTTCAATTTTTATTTCTTTTAGGACTAAATAAATATTCTTTTTTCCCATCCTTCAATTCAACCCAAACATGCTTTTAAACCAATTCAATAGTAATTATGATTAGAATTATACTGTATGATAACAGTAAAAATAAGAATCTATTATTATTTTAAATGTTATAATTTTCTTGAAAATTATTTAAATATTTTTATATGTTAATTTATTAAAAATATTTTAATTTTTTTATTATTAGTTATTTTTTGATGCTATTAATCTTGCTATTTTAATTATTAAGACATCTTAATTTTCTTTAACTTAATATTGTCATTACTTTAATGCAAGAACTCGTATAAGTTAATATTATTAAAAATAATCACTAAGAAATGTTGCGAGTAATATAATGACTAATAAGAGTTTGACCGAGTAAAATCCCACTAAATTAAAAATCTTCATTTAGAGTAAAATTTAGAGATTCAAATATCTATATTGCCAATTAACTATCCTTTTGGTATAGTAAAAAAAAGTAATACAATTATTAAATTTATTATGAATCGTGTAAAAGTAGTAGATAAGTTAAGAAAAAATTCCTCTTGCTAGAATTTAAGAAGGAAGATATCTTTAACTATTTTGATTAATATAAAACTACTTATAAATTTATGGTAATGTCAAGAATAAAAAGTTTAATTCTATCTTGGAGTCAAATAAAATATATTAAGCTTTAAGAATGATAATAAAGAAAATATATCAAGCTTTAAGATAATGACAAATAATATGTATCTTTCTCAATTAAAATATTAATGACTAAAAAATTAAATTACACAAATACTTCCGTTATAGAAAGGTTAATAAAAGAAAGAAAAATGAAGAGAGGGCTAAAATAGGAATAAAAAAAGAAAGGGCTAAAATAATAATTATGATAAAGATTTTTCTACCGCTTTAATATATATTTTAGTCATTAATTCATATCAAAAACAAAAAATTTTATTTTATTTTTAGTGTTAATGTCATGTATCTTAAGTTAATTAATTAATTATTAAAATTAAAATTAAAATTTATTTTTTCCCTATAATTTAATAGGCATAAAAGAATAGATATAATAATAAAGTAAACTTTAATTTCGCGTGCCGTAGCATATTTTCGACAGTGACGATAACCTATACAATAGTCAATTTATAGGACTACAACTTTGGTTGCCCTAATCGTAAAATTTTATTTTATTTTTATATAAGTTAATAATAAAAAATGTAATAAATATATTTTTAAATATGATTTTTTTTTTAAAAAGTGTAAATTAATCTCGTTTCTAAAAATAATTGAAATTGAAACTTTAAATTATATTATTTTATTTAAATAAAACTCAATTCAAAATTTAAAAAATTATCTTATTAAATGATGATATATTAAAATATATAATAGGTTTTCAAATTTATATATTAATATTTAATAAAATAAAATTTTAATTTTTAAATGTAGATTAAAATTCTAATTATTTTTAAAAATCAAAATTGATATCATTAACTTTTTAAAAATTTTCATAATATAAGAAAAATGTTACTAGAGTGGGATTTGTTTCTTTATTTTTTTTTTATACTAACCTCCCAATATCCCGTAATCAAAATCAAGTCGAGTCGGATTCCATTAAGAGAGAAGCTCTTCCAGTACCTGTTTTTCTAATTTACAAGG